CGTTATCCTTCCTCCATGCTTATTGTTTCTTATGTTCGCCATACCCTGCGCATTCTCCCCATCCTCCTCAGCTCTTTTTTCCGGATGCTCCTCCTTGGAGAGCCTCTAGGGGCCTCACAAAAGTTGTTTCGGGCTTTCTCACGGCCTTATGGAGGCCTCCTGGGCGTATTCTGGGGGCTTCCGAGGGCTTCCTCGGGCCACCCTGCCTCCAACCGTCGTCTCCCTGAACGACCGAATCACGAATCACGATGTGGAATTCTTCGGAAGGTGTCATTGGCCATCTTGGACCCGTGTTGTGCCGTTTTGGGGCTCTCTTGGACTGCCTGGAAGCCCTTTTGGATGGTTGTGGGGCGATTTGGGAGCCTCCGAGGCGGCTTCGAACGCCCAGAAGACCGCCGTCTTGGAGCGTCGGGAAGCCGAATAGAGGAGAACCCCAAAACTCACCAAAAAACCAACACAAAATCAATGATTTTTGCCTCGGGGGGCCTTCTTGGGAGCGCTCTTGGAGGCCTCTTTGGGGCCGTCCTGGAGGCCTCTTGGGCCATCTTGAGGTCACGTCGGTCACTCTTGGAGCGCTCTTTGTGCTGTCTTGGGGGTCTCTGGGACGTCTCCGATGACCTCCCTGATCGCCCTAAGTGTGCTGGGAAGGCTTGGAAAAACGCCTTGCGAGGCCCGGTGGCCGCTTCGAGGCCCGTCCGGAGGGCCCCAAAGCCCCAGGTCCTGGGAGTCCGGTTTTGGGGGGGGGGGGACGGGCTTTTCCCCCGCCCGGGCTTTTAGAAATATAGGAAGAGGAATACAAGACTGCAGTGGCGCTTCGCGCCATGCACCTTGGTCCTTGAAGTTTGGCATGCAGGCGGAATGGCAGCAAGGTCAAGCCGACAATTTAGCGATAACTCCTTGTTGCCTTTTCAGGCATCGCCGCTATAATAATGGTATTCGTTATCCTTTCTCCATGCTTATGTTTCCTTATTTTCGCCATACCCTGCGCACACTCCCCATCCTCCTCAGCTCTTTTTTGCGGAGGCTCCAAGGAGCTCTGGGGACCTCACAAAAGTTGTTTCAGGCCTTCTCACGGCCTTATGGAGGCCTCCTGGGCGTATTCTGGGGGCCTCCGGGGGCTTCCTCGGGCCACCCTGCCTCCAACCGCGGTCTCCCTGAACGACCGGGTCACGATTCGGAATGCTTCGGAGGGTGTCTTTGAGCCATCTTGGGCCACCATGGGGCTCTCTGAGGGCCATCTTGGACCCGTGTTGTGCCGTTTTGGGGCTCTCTTGGACTGCCTGGAAGCCCTTTCGGATGGTTGTGGGGCGAATTTGGAGCCCCCCAGGCGGCTTCGAACGCCCAGAAGACCGCCGTCTTGGAGCGTCGGGAAGCCGACTAGAGGAGAACCCCAGACTCCACCAAAAACCAACACAAAATCAATGATTTTTGATTCGAGGGGCCTTCTTGGGAGTGCTCTTGGAGGCCTCTTTGGGGCCGTCCTGGAGGCCTCTTGGGCCATCTTGAGGTCACGTCGGTCACTCTTGAAGCGCTCTTGTGCTGTCTTGGGGTTCTCTGGGACGTCTCCGATGACCCCCCTGATCGCCCTAAGTGTGCTGGGAAGGCTTGGCAAAACGCCCTGCGAGGCCTGGTGGCCGCTTCCAGGCCCGTCTGGAGGTTCCCAAAGCCCCAGATCCTGGGAGTCCGGTTTTTTTTTGGGGGGGACGGGTTTTCCCCCCGCCCGGGCTTGTAAAAAAATAGGAAGAGGAATATAAAAAAAGAAATGATAATATATGTGGTGTAAGTGCTTTTTACCAACGAGTTGACACATCCCATGCTCTTGCAAACATCCCACCCACACACCCGCAACCTGGTTTGCAAACCCACGCGGCGGCGATCGCGATGAGTGCTTGGCGTTGGCTGGTGCATCTCTGCGGCCGCACCGACCCAAGCACGCGCAGCGGCCAGCTAGTTTGGCGCGACCGACGCGGCCGCGGTGGCGCTGACCGCTGGGCACATCCCAGCGGGCACTTCAGTGCGAGTCGGCCACTTGGGCGGGCACGCGCGCAAGGGCGTTCGAACGATTTCGACATGCGCGCCCGAAGGCCGTTTGGTAGCATTTTCTGATAATGATGAACAAAGACAAACGGTTTTGATAAGAATTCGCAAGAGCGCGAGCGCCAGCTGTTTTGAAATTCCGTGTTGCGAAATCGTGTTTTCTTATATGTGTGTTGGACACTCGGTTTTGACATCGCTACGAAACCAGAAAGTTTCTGAACGATTTCGGCATGCGCGTGCGACGACGCGCGCGTGCGCACCTCGTCATATCTGTTGCAGGGGGTTATTGAAGCTGATGATTTTTGAAAAACGAATGTGCGCGCATAGGATATGTTGCAGAAAATGGCGGGATGGTGCGAATTCACATTTAGGATGGACGATGGGGCAGAATCAGATGTAAACTGCTCATCCCCAGGGGGTGCCGAGAAGTCCGGCCTCGGGAGAGTAGTGGAGTCGATTCTCTGTTCAGAAAAGAGAATCTATGCGACTGCGACGGCGGCGACGGGCGGCACCGCGGCGGCGACGGCGACGGCGACAGCGGCGAAGGGCGGCACCGCCCGCAGAAGTCGCCAGTCGCCCGGAGCGGCGGCGACGGCGACGGTGACAGCGACGGCCGCAACTGGCGGCACCGCCCGCAAAAGCCGCCATTCGCCCCGAGATGGTTAAGTCAAGTAAGAGCCTCTAATTGCAATTACTGTTTGGGGAACTAGAGAATAAATGTACATGCGTATATGTGCTAGCTAGCGCTGGCCCCAAACAGTATGCTTCTGGCAACCTAGGTTGTCCCACAAACGTTGTGCAATCCATGTGGCACAGTGGAAGATTTGCACTGTATGAAGTGCACCCAATGTGGAGCATTCGATGTGGAGCAAATCACTTTGCAAAACTTGAAGATGTCAACCCCACTGCTCGCGCAATCATCCCACCCACCCATCCGCAACCTGGTTTGTAAAACCCGTACGGCGGTGATTGCGATGACTGGAAGGAACCACTTGGAAGGATACCCTGCCATTCAGACGAAGACCTCTTGGAAGCAACGCTGTCAAGTGCACTCCGCGCACCTCGCGACAACATCCGCGTCCAAGAAAGCCCACTATAAGGTCAGACCTTCAGGTGCGGGCGAGCGTGCACTTCAGGCGGGCTACGCGAGGTACGATCGAACACGACACTTTTTGAGTCAAGCTTCCCATCAACCGAGGAGGTGTGAAAGGTGCTGCGGCTCCACTCCACTGTGGAATCGCTCGAAGCTGTGAGATCCACCAGGACCTAAGAAGCGGACCGCGAGCGGGGCGATCCTGGATAGATGGATAGAGGGGCATGGGCGGGCCCGAGAAAGATTAGACCTCCAGGTGGCGGCGAGAGTGCACTTCAAACGGGCTAATTGAGTCAGGATCGAATTCGACCGTCGTGTAGAACGACGACAAAGCTGCTGCTGGCGATGATGATGCTGATGCTGATGCTGATGCTGATGCTGATGATGATGATGATGATGATGATGATGATGATGATGATGATGATGATGATGATGATGATGATGATGATAATGATGATAATGATGATGATGACGACGCCCAAAGAAAGCCCCTCCTGAAGGCGTGACTAACAGGATACATCCCTTAGTGCGCACCATCGATGTGCTTAAAAAAAACGCGGCAGAACTCTTCAAGTCCAGCTCGAACTTGAAGATCGCGTTCCAGTCGCACGGGTCTCACAGTCTAGAAGCAAAATTGCAGTACCCTCCTCCTCCCCCTCCCCCTCCTCCTCCTCCTCCTCCATCAACTTGGCCACTGGCACGTAATGCGCAGACTCAGCCTCCGACACGCTCAACCCCTCGCCACTTCAGAAAGCCTCCCGCGGGTAACCCCTTACCTCATTGGCAAGTCCAGGGGTGCACTTGGCCTCCATGCCGTGAAACGGGGCCTTCGGACACGCGCGAGGACGACCAGCACTTGTTCTGAGCTCGGCGCCCTCCATGCCACAGCCAGAACGCCAGCGGGAAGTGAGACCCGGGCTGGCGGAGACCTGCAGAAGAGGAGGCCTAGGAAGGTTCCGGTATCCCCTACCCCAATCGGAATCAAGCTTCCCGTCAACCGAGGAGGTGTGAAAGGTGCTGCGGCTCCACTCCACTGTGGAATCGCTCAAAGCTGTGAGATCCACCAGGACCTAAGAAGCGGACCACGAGCGGGGCGATCCTGGATAGATGGATAGAGGGGCATGGGCGGGCCCGAGAAAGATTAGACCTCCAGGTGGCGGCGAGAGTGCACTTCAAACGGGCTAATTGAGTCAGGATCGAATTCGACCGTCGTGTAGAACGACGACAAAGCTGCTGCTGGCAATAATGATGATGATGACGATGATGATGATGATGATGATGATGATGATGATGAAGATGATGATGATGATGATGATGATGATGATGATGATGATGATGATGATGATGACGATGATGATGATGATGACGCCCAAAGAAAGCCCCTCCTGAAGGCGTGACAAACAGGATACATCCCTTAGTGCGCACCATCGATGTGCTTTTTTATATATATTTACCAAAAAAACGCGGCAGAACCCTTCAAGTCCAGCTCGAACTTGAAGATCGCATTCCAGTCGCATGGGTCTCACAGTCTAGAAGCAAAATTGCAGTACCCTCCTCCTCCCCCTCCCCCTCCTCCTCCTCCATCAGCTTGGCCACTGGCACGTAATGAGAGTGCACTTGAAAACGGGCTAATTGAGTCAGGATCGAATTCGACCGTCGTGTAGAACGACGACAAAGCTGCTGCTGGCGATGATGATAATGATGACGATGATGATGACGATGATAACGATGATGATGATGACGATGATGACGATGATGACGATGATGACGATGATGACGATGACGATGACGATGATGATGATGATGATGATGATGATGATGATGATGATGATGATGATGATGATGATGATGATGATGATGATGATGATGATGATGATGATGACGCCCAAAAAAAGCCCCTCCGACGCCCTCTCTGCCAGAGTCAACACGCCTGCTGGACGTGAAATCCTAGCAGGCGGAGACCTGGCTGGGGGTCACCAAGGACGTTTGATTCGTGCCCTACCCCAGCCCCCAATCAGGCTTCCCGTCGAACGATCAAAGCTGTGTAAGGTCCACAAGGACTTCTTCGAAGATACATCTCAGAAGGAAATCTGTCCGCAGTCCAGACGAGGACCTCTTGGAAGCAACGCTGTCCAGGACGCTCCCGAAGTCACGACTGGACGTTTCGGAGCCCTGCCGGAGAATCCTCCGCGAGCCGCGAGCCTCACGCGACGCAGCGGCGGAGGAGAACGATTAGCAAACAGAAAAACGGGACTGGGGCAATCCTAAACAGGGCGGGCATGGGAAAACACATCTACGGAAACTGCACGAAGAATCATCTGCGCACCTCGCGACGGAATCCCTTAAATAAGACCCGCTATACAATCACACCTCCAAATGCCGGCGAGCGTGCAATTCGGGCGTGCTCCGCGCGCCATCCGCCACCGTGCCCCCTGGCACGTTGGGGCGTGCGAGAATGCCAGATGCCATGTGGTAGGGTACCTGTAACTTTCTAAGGGCCACCACCACCCCTCGCTGGCCATCGCTCGGACGTCCATTCCGTGTTTTTTTTCAGTTTTGTGCGTGGCTTTTTCGCCAAATGATCAAGGATGCTCCTCGACGGTCCTCGCCGATGGAAAAAGTGCACACGTCCGAGCGATGCCAGGCTCGGGACGCGCCCAGCCGTATGCACCACCCCCTCTTTCCGCCACAACCCTCTGCAGAAGATTACAGCTTCGCGCACCCGAGGCCCAGCTGCATTCCAGACGGCCAAACATCGCCCCAAGGCGGACCAGTTCAGCCTCAAGACTGCTCAAGTTTTCAAGTTGGCTTCCAGACGGCCCACGAGGCCTCCGAAGCGTCCCATGAGGGCCTCGAACGACAAACATCACAAATTATAAGTATGCAGGCTTTTGTAACATGCTTTCCGGGCCCTGGCCTTTTAGTGCGTGCGACGTCTCAAGACGACCAACAAGGGCACCAAGACTCCCCAGGACGACCCAAGAGGTCACCATGTGGCAGCTGGATAAGATCAGACCTTCAAGTGCCCAGCACGCCAAAGCCTTCTAATCAGATCAGGCCTTTGCCCCACAAGGCCCCTGAGGACCCCATGCTTTCTCTGGCACTTGCAACCCAAAATGCTGCGCTGGCACGGTGGCGAAATTGCCGGCGCCAGCTGGGCAAGATCAAACCTTGAGGCGCCAGCGAGCGTGCACGTCATGCGGGCTACGCGGGCGAAGGTCGAATCCCACGGGCCCTCTGGGCGAAGGACTTGTTGTCTTCTCTCTTCCAAATCCCCTCTTCCCCTTGCTGGGGGCCCCACTTTGTTTGTTGATGCACACTCCCTCCCCCGCCCGACTGGCGACAAACCTGGGACAATGACTGGCCATCGCTCGGACGTCCGTTCCCTGTGTTTTTGTTCGTTTTCGTGCGTGGCTTTTTTCGCCAAATGATCAAGGATGCTCCTCGATGGCCCTCGCCGAAAGAAACATGCACACGTCCGAGCGATGCCGAGATGAGGGGCCCCCCCCCGCCATCAACTGTCCGAACCAGTGTGCGCAGCGCAGCCTGTGGCAAAACCTGGGCCGTGCGCAGGCGCCCCGGGGAGTACACTGCATCGGTTTGCACGGACGTTGCGGGGGGGCACCGCGCTTTCCGCGCCGCGCAGGCCTGCCACCCCTGTCACGACAGCATGCAAAGTGCACTCTGCGGCAAGATCTGGATCATGCCCAGGCGCCCCGTGGGCACCTCGCAGGACTTTCGGATGCGGACGGCAGCTGTGCCCTCCAAACTTGCGCTCGGCGCCGACCCTGCATTTCTGTGAACACACGATGCAAGGCACACTGTGCGGCAAGAGCTGGCTCATGCGCGGGCACCCCGCGATCAGTTTGCATTTGACAGGGGGGACGGCTGGGGGGGGGGCTCACATTGAAAGGTCTGCGTAGGCTCACGACCCCTGACAAAACCCCATACCAAATGTACTTACTTCGTAGCAAAATCTGAAAACATGCACTGGCTCCCGCGATAATGTTGCATTGGTTTTGTTAAACAGGACGGCAAGGGTGTCCTCATGTTGCTCACTCTGTGCTTCCGACGGGACTCATAAACCCAGCGGGATGGATGCCGGTAGCAACTGAAACCCGGACGCGATCAGAGACTGAACTGCGGGGTTCAGTCGCCCCGACTCCGGGGCAAGCGCCAGCCCGCGGAAAACTGAACTCCGAAGTTAAGTCGCCGCGAAGCTGGCGGACGCGACGGCCTGGAAACGATTTAATTTCAGAGTTAGGTGATTTCCACGCTGGGCGCACCAGCCCGAGACCGGCTTGACTCGGAGTTAAATCACCACGGCGCTGGATTGGGTGCTGCGACGACTGAACGGGAAGGATGTGGAGGAAAAGCACCACGGTGCGCACGGGGGAAACGCCACAGCGCCGAAGCAACATCCACCAGTTGCAATCAATGGTAGTGTAGGCACTACAAGTGCCGTCAGCATGCACAATCTCGATCGACAATAACAGCGGATGGCGCCGGTGATCAAGGGTACACATTGATGCTTATGATGTGTAGTTTCCAAAATATGCTACCCATCGTGGGCCCCACACGCACAGGTTTCTTGCAACCTACGTGGTGAATCTACGTGTTGCAACCCGTGTGGCGCAATCTAAGTGGTGCAATCAATGTGGTGCAACGTATGTGGCGCAATTCATGCCATGCACTCTACGTGGTGCAATCTATGTGTTGCAATTGATGTTTAGCCATGGGGTGACACATCCCACGCTCTTGCAAACATCCCACCCACCCACCCGCAACTTGGTTTGCAAAACCTCTTAAGACCGACTACGACGTCTCCGACGACTTCGACGACGACGACGACGCCGACGCCGACGACGACGAAGACGACGACGACGACGCCAACGAAGACGACGACGAGGGAGGAGGAAGGACGACGACGGCGACAACGACGACAACGACGACAACGACGAGGGAGGAGGGAGGACGGGGACGACGCGAACGACGAAAAAGGAGGAAGGACGGCGACGCCGACGACGACAACGACGAGGGAGGAGGGAAGAAGACGACGCCAACGACAACGACGACGACGACGACGGCGACGAAATAGGAGGGACGACGACGAGACGCCGACGACGGACGACGACGACGACGACGACGACGAGGGAGGAGGAGGAAGGACGACCACGGCGACAACGACGACGGAAACAACCACGACGCCAAAGAGGACGACCACGACGAACACGAGGAAAGACAGAGGACGACGTAGGCGACGACGACGACGACGACGCGGGAGGAGGGAGCACGGCGACGACGACGACGACGACGACGAAGACGACGACGCAAGAGCGCGCGCGCACGCTTTTATTGAAAATCCTTGTTGCGGAACCTTGTGTTTTTGTATGTTTTTTGGACACACGCTTTTGAAATCCTTCCGAAACCGATGGGTTTTGAAAGTTTTCAGCATACGCGCGCGACGACGCGCGCGTCTGCACTTCATCCCATGTTTTGCGAAGGATTCTCGCGACGGCACACGCGCAAGGGCGTTCGACAGATTTCGACATGTGCGCGCGCGAAGCCCGTTTAATAGCATGTTGTGGAAATATTGGAAAAAATGGTTTTCTTAAGATTTCGCAAGAGCTCGCGCGGAAGCTTTTTTAGCAAATCAGTGTTGCGAAACCCTGTGTTTTTGTATGTTTTTTGAAAACTCGATTGCGAAATCCTTCCGACACCGAAGGTTTTTGAAGGATTTCGGCATGCGCGCGCGACGACGCGCGCGTGTGCACTTCGTCTCATTTTTGTTGCAAGGGATTCGTGAAAGTGTTATGCTACAACAAAAAATGTAACCACATAGTTTGTTTTACAAGGGAACCTCAGGGGGGGTGATACCGGTTGGCCTGGGACATTGTGATTTCATATTTAGGATGGAAATGTGGTCATAATCATACATGATTTACATACCCGAAAGGTGACGTGATAACGCTGGGGGGGTAGAGTCTATTCTGTTTTTAGAAAGGAAAATTCACCCTGCCGAACTTGAAGTTGTCGACTCCACTGCTAGCGCTATCGTCCCCACCCACCCACCCGCAACTTGGTTTGCAAAACCTCTTAAGACCGACTACGACGTCTCCGACGACTTCGACGACGACGACGACGCCGACGCCGACGACGACGAAGACGACGACGATGGCGCTGGCGATTGCGCTGGCTGGAGTGTTTGGTGTTGGTCTGTGCATCTCTGCGGCCGCGCTAGCCCGCGCATGCTCGCGCGCGCAACGGCCTCCTCCTCCTCCTCCTCCTCCTCCTCCTCCTCCTCCTCCTCCTCCTCCTCCCCCTCCGCCTCCCCCTCCTCCCCCTCCTCCTCCTCCTCCTCTCCTCCTCCACCTCCTCCTCCTCCTCCTCCTCCTCCTTCTCTTCCTCATCCACCTATTCCTCATCGTCCCTCCGCAGTCCTCCCCCCCTTCCCCTGCTCCTGCGCCTGCGCCTGCGCCTGCTCCTGCTCCTGCTCCTGCTCCTGCTCCTGCTCCTCCTCCTCCTCCTCCTCTCCTCCTCCTCCTCCTCCTCCTCCTCCTCCTCCTCCTCCTCCTCCTCCTCCTCATCATCATCATCATCATCATCATCATCATCATCATCATCATCCTCATCCTCATCCTCCTCCTCCTCCTCCTCCTCCTCCTCCATCCTCCCCCTACGACGGCTTCCCCAAACCCACGATTAGGGTAACTCGCCCCTTGGCAACTCGCCGTGTCGCTCGTCGCCGTGTCCTGTCTTCGTCTGGCCCCGTCTGCGCCGGACAAAAAAAAAGAAGCCGCAGCTGCTAGAGGCCAGGCGCCTTCCCCCCCTCGCCGACAAGCGACCTCATGGCGTGGCGGGGGCAAGCCTGGCCAGGCGCCCCCTCTCTGGGGCGCGTGGGCCCAGCTGGCTCGCGGCCGAACCGGCTGGGGCCCGGGGAGCACGGGGCTCGTCGAAGACGGACGGCCTGCTCGGGCGGGTGGCAGTGGGGGGTGACCTCCACGGGGTGACCTCCGTCCGCTCGCTGCTCGTCTTGCTTCTAAGACGAAGCCAGGACGAAGATAAAATCGGATGAGGATACATCGAGAATCTCGGAGATCCGGCGGCTCTGGAGGATGTCTCGGGCGCCGCGGCCTTCTCAGAGCGTTCCGGAACGCTCTGAGAGCGTTCCGGAACGCTCTGGAACGGATTTGTCTTCGTCCTGGCCCCGTCCGACGATGGACCCGAACGGGGCCTTTCGGGGACCCTTTTGGGCCCCTGCAAGCTACAGAGGCCCATTTCTCCACCCCCCATGTAGGTCACCCCCCATTACCACCCGCCCGACCTGCGGGAAATGCTCTGGCCAAGACTCGGCAGATCACCCTTGCGGTCCTCATATCGTCGGCACGGATCGCCGCTGAGAGGATTGTGCCCAAGCAAGGTGCAGGGGGGCCGCTCAGCCTCACCGGCCATCTCACTGGTCCCGTGGAGCCCAAGCATCGAGGACTCCTCGGAGAGGACGGAGGTGGACTCGGTGTCGCTCGACTGGTTGCCAACTGCCCCGCCGCCGGCCAGCTCCACTCCCGGCAACAACTCGGGCGCCGCGAAGGCACCAGCCACGAGCCAGCGTGACGTGCGGCTGCCCATGCGAGGCTCGGGGATCCGCATGTCGGGCCTCCTTTGGGCGTCGCGTAATGGGAAGGCGATGACGGGGGGGGAGAAAGTTGTACCTTGCGGGCTCTGAAAGCCCCCCCTCCGGGGCCCGAAAGGGCCTCCTATAGGGCCCTGCAGAACCCTTCTTCAAAGGCCCCTTTCCTGCAGCCCTCGCTGCCCCCCATTTACCGCCACCCCACAGCGCGGCGGCCAACTCTTGGAGGCCTGGAAATTGGCACCAAAACCAGCACAGGGGGGTGCCTCCACATGGGGAAGAGGACCCTTGTTTTCGGTGTTGGTGGTAATACTTTGGTCACCTTGGAAGCCAAAATATTACCACCATCACCGAGATCGGGATCGTCTTCCCTCGGTGGAGGCACACCGCCGATCTTGGTGTTGGTGTCAACCTCTAGGCCTGCGAAACTCCTCATGTAGGGAAGGTCTTCGAGAGTCGCAGGTGCCGAACTCGGAGGAGGCTGGAACGCACGGGGCCTGCGGATCTGCTCGGGGCCGAGGCCGCCAGGGCCCGGCACGGCCCCGCCGCGGCCCACTCCGCAGGGGCGCCCGCAAGTCATCCCGGGAGTCGAGGGCTGCCTCGGTGCGGGCGCCACGCCGGATGCCTCCGCCCATGCCAACGCTGGCCTCGGTCGCTGCTCGCTGACAAGAGGGAGACCGTCGCCCGCAAAACTCGGCATCCCTGCGGTGCCTGGAGTGGCCATGCTGCAGTGTTGCGCAGGGTGCTTCGCCCCAACTGGTCGCCGCTGGGCTGCCTCCGGATCGTAAAACAAATCTTGGCCCAAATGCCAAATGCTGAGCCAAAAACGGCTTGAGCCAAGTTTGGATACGGAGTGCAATCTTTTGAGCGGTGTTGGGAGGACGCTGGGGCCCCTGGAGATCTCCGAAGTATCATGGTGGACTATTGGTCCATCTTTGACACCTCGTGGAGTGCGTTGTGGCCCCTCTGACTATGGGGAGACGTGAGGGGGCACAGGCTCACGGGGGGAACCTCGATATGGAATTGGCGATACATCGTTCCTCATCCTCCTCCTCCTCCTCCTCCTCCTCCTCCGCCGCCTCCTCCTCCTCCTCCTCCTCCGCCTCCTCCTCCTCCTCCTCCGCCTCCTCCTCCTCCTCCTCCGCCTCCTCCTCCTCATCCTTCTCCTCGCCGACAGATCAGCGACCAGCCCCTGGTAGCGACACTGGACGGTCCCGAGCGGGGCGGGCCCTCGGGCCCCTGTCGGCGATCCATTGGGCGATCGGGGGTCGATGCATCCCCCCCCTGGGCGTGTCCCCCCGACTGATGCCCCTGAAGGAGGAGGAGGAGGAGGAGGAGGAGGAGAAGAAGGAGGAGGAGGGAGGAGAAGGAGGATGCGGGAGGAGGAGGAGGAGGAGGAGGAGGAGGAGAAGGAGAAGGAGAAGGAGAAGAAGGAGGATGCGGGAGGGGGATGCGGGAGGAGGAGGAGGAGAAGGAGGAGGAGGAGGAGGAGGAGGAGTGTTGCCCCTGAGGAAGGACCAAGGGGCGTCGTGTTAGGCACCGCGTGCAATCACGAATGGAGCCTCCCACGGGAGGGGGCAGCTCCAAGGCGGACCCCAAGGAGGACCCCAAGGAGGCTCTCTGTTGGGCCCTTTTGAATCTCGCATGACTGTCATAAGCCCGAAGCCTTCCTTGTTTCTCTTGGCGCCATGTTTGGCTATTTCGGCATGTCGCTGGGACCCTCTTTTGGGCAGCCTTCGAGCACTCAGAAAGCCAGCCATCTGAGATCGTGTTGAGACGAATGTCCGAAGAAACTAAAATTAGGTCGGGCATGTCCTGCTACAGGCGGGTTTTCGTAGAAAAATCCGCCGACCCCTTGGGGTCATGAGTCACGGCGTGTGAGATGCTCGCCCCTCCCCAAACCCTTCCCCCGGGAGCCCGGTCTGGCCGGTTTGAGGGGGGGGGGGCGGGTAAAGGTGCAGGCCGCAACCTTGGAGCCCCAGGGGGCCCCAAAACGGGCCAAGAGGGCCCAAAAAGGCTTCCCGGACGGTCCAAGAGGGCTACGAGTCGCCGAAAGATCCGTCCAAGACGCTCAAGATTGCATCCGGACGGTCCTAAAGGCCCCGAAGACGACCCAAGAAGCCACCAAGAGGCGTCCCAAGAGGCCCTCCAAAAGCAAAAACCGTCCCATTCCCGAAGGAAAACATATTTTTTTAGCACATTCGCCTCTTGGACTTTCACGAGGCCCACAACGGCCCAAGAAGATTTCAAGATCGACCCAAGACAGCCCAAGAGGACCCCGAGAGGGCTCCCAGACGGCCCAACAGGGCCCAACGACGGCCCCAGAAACCCCCAAAACGGCCCAGGAGGGCCCCAGGACGGCCCCAGGATGAGGCCCAGAGGGGGAACCTCAATGGACATTTCGAGCACTCGGCCCCGAAAAAACCTGAGGACCCCCAGAGGTCTCAACACGTCTCCCAAGAGGCCTCAAAAGTGCTGCTAGGAGAACCCAGAGAAGCCGAGCCGCGATCCGCCAACCGCCCACGACAAAATCCCAAGAAGCTCAAACCCCAAGATTCACCAGAAATTGCGCGCGTTCCGCAAACTCCGTTTTTCACTCTTAATGCAGCCCCCAAGGATCGGCGATGCGGCGGCAGCCAATGAATACAACATTGTCAACAATACGAAAGGATATTCAACAGCAGTGGCAAAAACGTCCCCTGATTGTATCCCAACCACATTGTGGTACTGGGCACTCGCTTTGAAGTGACAGCGCCATGCGCTCCTCCTCACCTCTCCTCTCCTCTCCTCTCCTCTCATCCTCCTCCCCCTCCTCCCTCTTCCCATCACCAGCACCATCATAAACAGCAACATCATCATCACCATCGTCATCAACAGCATCACCATCATCAGCAACTTCAACAGCAGCAAGAGCACCATCAGCAGCATCCTAATCATCAGCATCATCATCCGCATCATCAACAGCGTCACCATCAGCATAATCGACGCCATCGCCATCAGCACCAGCATCAGCATCAGCACCCGCATAAGCAGCAGCATCAGCAGCATCATCTGCATCCGCATCACCATCAGCAGCAGCATCATCAGCACCATCACCATCAGCATCAGCAGTCTCTTCATCATCAGCAGTAGCGTCCCAGTGGCGCAGCCCGCATGCGTCTTCCACATCCAGTGCAGCCCTTCGTGGCCCCATAGGGAGCTCCACCTAAGGTCCCAGTGGCGCAGCCCGCATGCGTCTCCCACACCCAGTACAACTGTTGAAGTAGGAGGTTCTTGTCCCTCGCAAGCGCGCGAATGGCCAAAGGGACCCCTTCCCGACGCGGTCAGAGGCCCCTGTAGTAGCCAAAACGGCGGCGGGGGAAAGGCAGGAGAGCATGCCAGCGCCGATCATCAACAACAACGCTTCGTGGCCCCGTAGGGAGCCTCACCGAAGTTCCCAGAAGCGAAGCCCACATGCGTCTCCCCCACCCAGTGCAGCCCTTCGTGGCCCCATAGGGAGCTCCACCTAAGGTCCCAGTGGCGCAGCCCGCATGCGTCTCCCACACCCAGTACAACTGTTGAATAGAGGTTCTTGTCCCTCGCAAGCGCGCGATTGGCCAAAGGGGCCCCTTCCCGACGCGGTCAGAGGCCCCTGTAATAGCCAAAACGGCGGCGGCGGCGGAGGCAGGAGAGCATGCCAGTGCATATCATCAAGACTGGCTATGACCTTTCCTCTGCCTCGAACCCCGCCCGCCCACGCCCAGATCTCTGTGACCCCGGCGCTGCGTGGCGGCTCCTACATGCACAAACATACGAGAACTGCGAAACGCATGGATTCGCAAGGCTTCTGCTCGCACGACCAAGTCACCGGCCGCTCACATGGATTCGCGAGGCCATTGCTCACGCGACTGGGGCCGCCAGCCGCCAATTGGGCGCGCACTTTCGGGGCCCGCCTTTTCTTTGCCCGCCGCTCAGACAGGACTCCGCGCAGGCTTCTTCATCATCGTGTGCCCGCTCTGCATCGCCATCGTGCTGGATGGCGACGTCGCGGGAACTCCGTTCCTCGGCGCGCCGCGCCATCGCCCTGGCTACCTTCGCCCAGGCGTCTATGCCACGCTCCGCGGGGAACCCTGTACCTGCGAACGGACTAGACATCGCGGCTATACAGATCGCCGCCACGCAAGTTGCGGCCGCTCACCGGCGCTCCGCACTGCGAAGCGTCACCGACGCTCTGCACGGCACCGCCGTGCGTCTGGTGCCCTGACTTCCAGGCGCAGCTCACGCAAGGTACGGCCGCTCACTGGCTCTCCGCACTGCGAAGCGTCACCGACGCGCTGCACGGCACCGCCATGTGTCTGCTGCCCTCGCTTCCAGGCGCAGCCGCGTCACCGACGCGAATGGGCCTAAGTCGCCGACGTTCCGCACAGCACCGCTATGGGCTTGCTGCCCTGACTTCCAGGCGCCGCAGTCCGTAGACGCGTGGATCAAACCAGCTGCACTGAAGCTCCGCTAGCAATGCTGAAGTAGGGGTTCTTTCCCCTCGCAAGCGCGCGATTGGCCAAAGGGGCCCCTTCCCGACGCGGTCAGAGGCCCCTGTAGTAGCCAAAACGGCGGCGGGGGAGAGGCAGGAGAGCACGCCAGCGCCGATCATCAACAACAACGCTTCGTGGCCCCGCAGGGAGCCTCACCGAAGGTTCCAGAAGCGAAGCCCACATGCGTCTCCCCCACCCAGTACAACGCTTCGTGGCCCCAGAAGGAGCTCCACAAAAGGTCCCAGTGGCGCAGCCTGCATGCGATCCCCCACCCGGCACAGCGCGTCGTGGCCCCACACGGAGCTCCACCGAAAGTCCCAGAAGCGCAGCCCGCATGCGTCTCCCACACCGAGTACAGCGCGTCGTGGCCCCATAGGGAGCCCCACCGAAGGTCCCAATGGCGCAGCCCGCGTGCGCCTCCCCCACCCAGTACAGCGCTTCGTGGCCATATAAGGAGCTCGACCGAGGGTCCCAGTGTCGCAGCCCGAATGCGCCTGTCATACCCAATACACTGTTTCGTGGCCCCATAGGAAGCTCCACCGAAGGTCCCAGTTGCGCAGCCCGCACGCGCCTCCCTAACCCAGTACTGCGTTTCGTGGCCCCACAGGGAGCTCCACCAAAGGTCCCAGTGGCGCAGCCCGCATGCGTCTCTCCCACCCATTGCAACGTTTCGTGGCTCCGTATGGAGCTCCACCGAAGGTCCCAGTATCGCAGCCCGCATGCGTTTCCCACACCCAGTACAGCGCTCCGTGGCCCCATAGGGATCTCCACCGAGGGTCTCACTGGCGCAGCCCGCATGCGCCTCCCCCGCCCGCCACAGCGCTTCGTGGCCCTATACGGGGACCCCACCGAAGACGAGACCTACAACTGCGGTATTCACAACTGCAGGTGGTTGGGTCTTTCGGCATGCTGAATTATAAGGAGAAGAAGTGGACGAGAAGGAGGGGGAGAAGGAGGAGGAGGAGGGGGAGGAGGAGGAGGGCCAGTGTAAACCCAAGAATCATCAACGATGTTGGGATAAGCCATCCCTCCAAACTCCCGCTTCCATAGGCCACTACTACCTCTCATCTCCACTGAGGGAAATGCATCGCTGGAAGACAAGAGTTTCAAGACCCCGAAGCATGCCAAAACATTGCTCTTGGGATTCCAACGCCACGGATCAACCTGACTGTTGCGTATTGACGATCTGGCATCGCACCAGAAAGCCACTCCTGGGAACTCAACGCCCCGAATCAACGTAATTGCTGCACCCTCATACTCTTGAACCTTTTCCATATATATATATATGGTACGCTGACAATGGGAATCCGTGAAATTCTCGCAATGTTGGGGGGGTGGGGGGAGAAAGGAACAAAAACAAAAAACAAAATGTGCGCGGCGCTAAGGCG